ATGGGACCTTTAGAAGCAGGGCCTCATGGGGGGTCTTGGGCTGCCTGTGTGCTCAAAGGGCTCTGTAGGACTCAGGCCCCTTCTGTCTCTCTTTTCTCCTGTTTCCGGCTGTGCAGTGGACATCTCGCTCCAGCACACCCACCTGCATGTGTACTTCCTGTCTGCAGACCGACAACAGGGGCCACAGTCATGGGGTGGACAGTTCAAACCAAGGATCAGGACAGCCACTTCCTCCTCCACACTGGTCACCTCGGGGAGGGTGAGTTTATTGTGTCCTGGAGTCTGACCTTGAGCTACCACGTACCAGATCCCCCTTCCTGTTCTGGTGCTTCTGGTCTATCCCTTGAGCATCCTTCAAAATGACTTCTTGGGAAATGGCCTCAAAATGATTTCCAGCTGCAGGGCCAGGTGACAGAAGATAAATGAAACAATTTGGGAAAAACTTTAGGTCTTTGCTGAGAAGGATTTTTGGTGCAGTAGACATGGTTGACTCATGGGTGCGGGACAGGTGACGTGACCGGGCCCCCGAGCTCTGTGAGAATCAAGGGTCTAAGGCTCTCCCAAGGGTGTCACACCTGCTGTGTGTGCTTCAGCGTGGCTGGGACAGGTTGTAAGAGGCATCACATCCGTTGCGGGCTGCTCTTTCTATGGATACGCGTGTCTGCAGGGCAGATCTGGAAATCAGGGTCATGGCCATGGTCTCTAAAGCAGGGTCCCTAGTACTGCACCTTGGGCCCCGCTGGCCTCCTCTCTCCTCCAGGCTGCCAGCCCTGCAAAAGACTCCGGATGCGGGTGCAGGGTATCACAACACACCTTTGGTTTATGTTTTCTTAATGAAAAAAAAAAAAGCCTGTATTAATAAGCATAAAAAAGGATTGGAATGCAAAATACACATAGGTCCCTTTTAGGATTAAAAAGAGCCCCAATGTCGATGGTGCAGAAGGCTCTGGTGTGTGTGGCCATTGGGGCCTGAATGCCCTGGGCCCAGGTGAGTCCCGCAGCAGCATTAGGCACTGTGATGGCCCAGGCACCCCAGTGACCCCTGAGACAGAGTGTGAGGATGCCACAGGCCATCATCCCTATGGTGGAGAAGGAAGCACACCTCTGCTGTTTGTTTCCTGTTTAGTGTTGGTTTGCAGAGCACAAGAACTCAGAATCACTGTGCAGCCCACTCTGCAACAGAGCCCCAGGGAGCATGGTGCCATCTGTCACTTCTCCCAAGATATCCCTGCCACACCAGGAGGCTGGCTGTCCACACAGCATGACAGAAAAGCCACATTGGGCCTGAGAGGAAGTCAATGGTGAGTGGTTCACAGCTTTCCAGCATGTTCTTTCCCATTTGGGGACAGGAAAATCAAAAGGCAGATGTGCTCTTCACAGCAGGAAGGAGACCTGGAAAGGACTCCCAAGGGGCAACTTGGCACAGACTCAGGGCTTGCTGTGCGCCGCCCTTTCCCCTAGGACACGGAGGCCACAGTTTGCAGCTGAATGCCACTGTCTCCCTGCTTTCCCTTTTCTGTCTTTAGTATGCACTGAGAGAGTTCACTTAGAAACCAGCCTGCATTCTGGAGATCCTCAGGCCACCTGAAGTACTGCTGCTTTTGCACAAAGCCTCGGATGGCTGCATGTCTCATCAGCTTGTATGCAGACAGCGACCCCACCACCACCACGATGAGCACGTGCCGCAGGTCAGACATGCACCTGTCCTGGGCATAGCTGAAGGCCCTCTAGGCACCACCCGTCACAGAGGAAGTGCCTGCTCATGAGGCACATGACCTTCCTGCTGCTCCAGATGGCCACCTGCAGGTTGGTGATGTGGTCTTCCCCGGAGATGAAGTCTCTCTCTTCAAAGCACAGGTTCAGCCTGTTTTGGTCATCATACTGGACCCAGCACCACATGCCCTAGTCCCAGCCACCTCTGAAAAGCCCCACCTGTGACCTTGTGAGGCTCTGGGGGGACATCGAGACAGGAGCTACATAACGCCTTGTCAATTCCAGCCTTCACTGATGGCAACAGAATTATTTATAGGTTCACACTACTCAGTGATACTTTGGACACACAGCAGTGGTGCTCTCCAGGATTACATGCACCTGAAAACCATCACTGTGCAATTTGCCTGCATCTTGTCTGAGTGAGGATGTTCGTGACCACCTGTGGTACATGGTGATCCCATGCTGTACCTGCACAGGACTAGGAGCTGTGGCTCCTATAAAGCTCTGTGCACCAGGCTCTCGCCCTTCCAAGGTGCCCCCTGCACAGTTGTCCACGGTTCCCTTCTTATTAAGTGGCACATGACAATATCGTGATGCGGGCAGACACCAGCATTAAAGATAGGACATCAACACTACCACCGTGGCATGCTCTTAGAAGTTTTTAAGGAGTTTCGTGGTTCTCTTAGTCTTTTTCTTTTTTTTTTTTTTTTTTACCTTTTGGATGTTAATTATGTTCATAAACAGTGACATGAGAATAAGGCTTCTAAGGCTCACACACTATCTCTAGGTGAAAGGGTGACACCACCCCGATAACAACAAGGCTAGTACAGCTTTCCCGGAAATGGCCAGCTCTCTACATTCAGGGTGGCCACTTTCTGCAGAAATTCTGCCACTTTCTGTAGAATTTCTGTACAAATTCTCTGCCGCTTTCTATAGAAATACTGATTTACTCTCTAAAGTTCCCAGTGTTTCCTAGAACTGATTCAAATAGGGAGGACATGGAGTGTTCTACTTATTTCCAGGTAAACTCTTCACATTTCCTGGCTTCTGAAAGTTCTCCTTTCACAGATCTTTTTAAACATAGTTACAAAATTTTCTATGAAACGTAACAAGTTAAATCCAACAGTACAGCAAAAGGAGACACATTGTAACATTTGGGGTATCTCAAGAATTGGGTGTCCCTATCACAATAGATGGGGTTATCTCAAAAATGTGAAGTTCAGGGCCAGGAATTTAGCTCAGCTGCACAAGTGCCTGCCTAGCAAGTGCAAGGTCATGAGTTTGGTCCCTGGTATGGAAAAAAAAAAAAAAAGCAAAGTTCCTTTAAAATTTGAAAATTAATGGTAACTCACCAAATTGATAAAATTTATATTTTTTGTTTTGTTTTGGAACTGGAAATTTAACTCAGGACCTCATACTTCCCAGGCAGGTGCAATGCTACTGAGCTATATCCCCAGCCCCTGGTAAACTTTAAAAACATAATCTATATGTTGAACTCAGGAGACACCAAAACCAAACAAACACATTTTTGTCAGGCATGGTGGTGCATGCCAGTAATCTTAGCTACCCAAGAATCTGGGGAGGCTGAAGCAGGAGGATTGTAAATTCAAGGCCAACCTAGGCACTTTGTCTACAAAAAAAAAAAAAAAAAAAAAAAGGCCTGGGATTCCAGCTCAGTGCTAAAGGGCTTGCCTACCGTGCATAAAGCCCTGGGCTCAGTGAACAAACTAAGACTAGAAAGGAATATAAACCAGCTTCTGATACCAACTTACAGCTAACCTCAGAATTAGTGGTGAATGATTGGGTGCTTTTCCCCAAGATCAAAAACCAGACAAGATGTCCATTCTTATTACAGCAATTCACCACTGGTGAGGGGTGCACCGAGGGAAAAAAACTTATCCAGATTGGAAGATGTAAACTTTAATCTGTATTTTCAGAAAACATGAGTATATATAAATAAAATCAGGTAAGATCTAAATGAAAGTTAGAAGTAGTAACTTTATTTTTTATATACATAGCAGAATATACAATTATCTTCTTTATTCATAGCATACTTAGCAATAGCTGTTTTATTAATAAACATTTTGTTTCCAGTCTTTTGTTGTTACAAATAATTGTGGAATTACAAAGTTTTGTGAATGTATCTTTCCAACACTTGTGTTTCGTATTCTGTCTTTGAAATACGTTTTCAGAAGCTTGGATTGTTGGGCGCAAGGTGTGGTTTGGTGGTAGAGAGCTTGCGTCGCATGTGCAAGGCACTGGATTTTTTCTCCAGCACCATGGAGAAAGTGAGATTGGGTCCATAGGAAAATCTGGAGGCGGGTCCAGGCAAGGTTCGCAGCGGTCATTTAAGGGTCTTGTCATTCCATAGAGCGAGGCACGGTGGGAGAGCGCCCCCACCCCATCTCTCTCCACTTTCAGCGCGGGTTTGTGCAGGTAGGAGCCACGTGAGTGTTCATGAGGAACAACTACTTACACATCTTTTCTGAGCCTCACTAGCTTGTTCTCTGTGTGTTTTGTTTCTGTAGGCAGGGACTGAACGAGGTTTTTTTTTTTTTTTTTTTTTTTTTTTTACTTCAATTAGATTTTGGTACATTTCGGATCATTAGAGAGGATTTGTACCTATACATGGTACTGTTTTCTTTCCCATTCCCCTCCTGTCCCTTCAACGCCTCCTCCCCTTATCCATTTACAAAATTTCATTTCCAAGTTTTCTTTCTGTTTTGTGTTAAGTAATCAGATTTACAGTTTTTTCCCTTTTTGCTTCTTGATTTTTGAGTCATAATCAGGAAAGAACTGTTGAGTACATTGAAAAAAAATCACCCAACGCTTTTTTGATATAGGCGTTTGTTTCTGCCATCAGTTGCTGATTTTTTTTTTTTTTTTTTTTTGTCTTTTTTCCTTTTTATTGGTACCGGGGATCGAATTCACGACCCGCTGCTTGCAAGGCAGGTGCTTAGGCCACTGAGCTAAATCCCTAGTATCCTGAGCTTTGACCCGTGGCCCCGCCCAGCCCGGCGAAGGCGCCAGCCAGGCCCGCAGCCACAGAGCAGCGCGCGCTAGGCCAGGCGCCAAGGTCTAGTGGTAAAGGCGCCAGAGCCTAGTGCCCTTAGCATAGCTAGCCAGCGGACGTTGCTCTGCGGCCACGGGACCCCGCCCCCGGCCTCGCTCATTGGGCAATCCAGCCCCCGGCCTCGTTCATTGGGCGCTCCGCCCCGGCCCCCCCCCCGTGCCCAGGTTTGGCCCCGCCCCTCTCTGCTGGCGCGCGGCCCCATCAGTGTGTTAACAGCTCATAGCACAGCTGGAAGGGGAGGGTGTAGCTGTGCAGTCCCGCCCCCTGCCGCCTCTGGAAAGGACAGTACTTGCCACTGTCAGTCCGGCCCTTCCGGCCTGTCGCAGGGAGCGGTTCTTTGCGATGGATGTGGTGTCAGCCACTGGGTTCGGGGTCACCGTGTCCCGGGGTTTTCCCAAGCTGCTGCAGCCTCTGCAGATACTGTACGCAGCCCGGCTGCTGAGGGTGAGGCCGGGAACCAGGGCCGGGCGAGGGGCGCGGGTCGCCCACCAGTGGGAGCAGGCTGCGGGCCCCTATAGGTTTATCAGCACAGGAGCTAGAGAGACAGCAGTGTAGATCAGTAGCCTGAACTTGCTGTTTCTCTTTGCAAATGACATTCATTTGAAGTGATTCCATTGTCAGAGAACAAGTGCCTTTTGTGAAGTGAGCCTCTCCAACTATGTAAGATTTTACTGTATCTCCTGCCTTTGCAGTAAATTGCTATCTCATCAAAACAAATGTTACTATCGTTTTCTTAAAGTTTAACAGTGTCCTGTGCACTGTTGCTGTTAGCTGTGGGTCACTCTGGAAAGGCAGATAGCTGTGCAAAGCTCTTTCTCTCACGGAGCCTCACACGAGTCCTTGCTGCTGAGACACTGTGCAGCTCAGTTCCATTTAGTGCTCCTAATACTGGCTTTTTCCTCTTTTTAGTCACTGAACAGCAGATTGCTGAGAAGCTGAAGAATACTACAAAGGACAATGCAGAACTTGTCAAAAAAGTGTCAAGTTATAAACAGAAGGTAGAACCTGTTTCATGGCCCCTCCTCTAGCGTGTCTGTGGTGTAGCTCAGTTATTATGGTATTTTGAAGGCCTATGTTCTCGCTTCATCATTTCCCCTGAGCCCTCCAGATCTTACGCACCATCAAGTATAAAGCAAACGCTCTGCTGGCTTCCTTGGAACAAGGTTTTAGTAGCACAGTGACTTCTGTTACTTAGTTCTGAATGTGTTTTTTTACATAGATCAAGGAATCAAAGAAGCTTATTCAGGAGACCAAGAAAAAAGTCAATTCCCTGTCATCAAACAATTAAATACAAGGTAAAAGTCCTTCTCTTTTTGGGATTATAGTCTAAAAACAAAAGCAAGCATTAATGTGTATTGTTACTTTTAATATCTTTTCTTGTAGGCTGAAATCAAGATGCTTAAAGAAAGCAATAAATTTCTGACTGATATTGCCAAAACTCTTTATGTTATATTCAAATCTGAGAGGAAATGAAACGTGAAAAATCAGGATTTGGTGAGTTCTGCTGCTGGGTGTTACTACAGTTGTATTTTTAGCTATTTCATAAATTAGCTGAACTGTTCCCATGCTGTTAACTCCTTAAGATTAGGAATAACACAAATGAACATGCCTGTACCCATTTTGTGGGTGTTTTAGTACTAACCCAGTGGACCTTTTCATAGGCACGGGAAGTGTTTTGATCCTGAATCTTGGATAATTTCATAGCTGTGTCCTCCAGAACACACAGAGTCACTAAGAAATTGAGTGGTTGAGTAGTCTGTGTAAACTGGTTTTATTTCACAGCAAACTCTGTGCCTTTTGAATAGTTTTAAAATCCCCTAAGTGGAAATGTAGTGAGGAGAGTTCTCATGCTTCCCGCCTCCTGTGTGGCCTGGTCCTTTGCTCAGCACAGACGTGGTAAATTGCCCATTTTCAGTCCTTTGTGCACCATGCTCTTTGGCAGGAAGTCATGACACACAACCTGAAGTTAAGAGAACGGTGGGTTAGGGTCACCCCTTGAACCAGGATTGTCGTAAATATTGAGAAATTTTGCACATGAGATTTTTCTGTTCCCCCAGAAACACTTTTTCTGTGTTGTTTGGTTTGGTTTTGTCTTTTTGAGACTGGCTTTTGTTATGCAGTTCAGGCTGGCTGTGAACTCACTTTGAAGCCTAGGCAGGCCTAAAACTCTCCTCTCCTGCCTCAGCCTCCCAAGTGCTGGGATTACAAGCATCCACCACACCCAGCATTCTTACCATACATACAAGAAAATGTCTAAAGTGATTTTGGACCTTATTTTTTGGTGCCAGGAATCAAACTCATGACCCAGTGCTTGGTGGGCAGGCACTTATGCTGCTGAGCTAAATCTCCAGCCCTTTTGGCCTTTTTTGTTTTCATGCCACCAGAAAAGCTGTTCATTTTTTGTGAACATTTCTTTGTTCATGGTTTGCTTGAACATTTCTTTATACTATGTTGAGTGGTCACCCCAAAGCTTGAGGGTACCATGAAATTCTTGACCTCAGTTTTTTCCCTCAGCTCTTTTTTTTTTTTAATTTAAAGAAAGACTAAACAAAACAGAAAACGGGTAACAGCTTTTAATATTCTGTTCTTATATTGAATTTCTGGGATCTTGATTATTATATGCCTGGATGTAGCTCTGTTTTGGTTGTAGGTGGCTGGAGTTCTGTATGCCTCATATATCAGAATATCATTTCCTTTTCTTATGTTTGGGAAGTGTTCCTTAATTAATTCTGTGAATAACCTTTGTAATTCCTTTGTTTGTATCCCAGATTCTTCACTTACATTCTTTATTCTCAAGTTATAGATCCTTCTGTCATCTTCTAGCCTTTGTATTGTGACTGCTTGTTTTCTTGTTATTTTAAAAGTTTTCCCTTTCATACTCCCACATTGGAAAATTGTCCTCCAGTTTGGATAATCTATCCGTAGTTTCTTTCAAGCTGATTTGTCATCTTTCCATAGAGTTTTTAATTTCCTGGTGATCTCTTTGAATCTGCTTCATGTATTCTATATTTTTTTCATATTCTTCACCAAATGGTTCTCTCCTGTGTTTGAGTTCCTCCCTTCTTCTGTCTGTGTCTGCTTGAGGGGTGCTGGGTATCTCTTTTATTAATCTTCTTATATCTAGCTTTATTTGGCTAAATGTTTCACTTTTGAACTCATCTATGAGGTCCCAAATATATCTCTTTATGTCCACTGGTGCTGTGTCTGATATAGCATGTTTGCTGTTTTCATTCTCTTTTGTATTTACCTGTCCTGGGTCAGTGTTCTCAGGGTTGGGGCCTGGGGCTTTTTGTTATTGCTTCATCTTCCCATCTTTTTTGCTTCTTCCAGGAGGCCCCAGTTTTCTTCTTTGTTGGTTACAATTCTTCTGAAGCGTGTTGGCTAAGGGGTGTGACACGGAGCAATTTTTATGGCAGACTGTCCCATTTTTGCCTGCTGTGGTTCCCTGTGAGAAGAGAAAATCAAGAGTAAATATCAGTGAATACAGGAAGAGACAGAACAATAGGGAGAGAATCACAGAGCTCAGGATTCTCTTTGCTTGATCAGGGGGTCATCTGGGGTTTAAAAGAATACTGTCAGCACCTTCAGAGTGACCAAACACATGGCAGTCAGCCTACGGGAACATGTGACCTCTCAGGTCAAAGGCGTCCTGGAAGGGAAAAGTTGCAACAAAAAGACAAGTGAAGAGACAGACCTACACAAAACAAAGACACAAAACCACTAGTACTGCAAAAAGTAAAACAGTTTTTCTCTGGCAAAATAAATGAATTGAGTCTGGAGGCTTCCCTTCAAATTCTGATATCAAAGTGGAGTGTGGCTCTATGGGGGTCCAAGATCCAAATGAGTCAAAAGACTCCAAAATCCAAAACCAATGATCTAGGATTCCCAGCAAGGATGAGGGCATGCCTTCCTAAATAAAGTTAAGACTTCGTGATATCACTTTAAATCAAATGGGAGTCTCCAGTACTTACTTTATAGGGAATCAGTCCTCAGGAATTGAGTCAGTGGGCTGTTATTTCATCCCGGATGAGCCCCCAATTGTGGTAGCCCATTTCCTGAGGTAAGCAGGCACCAGAGAAAACAATTTGGAAAAAGATTATTTATTAAAGCACAGGCCTGGCGATGCAGCCTTCTGGGGCCAAAATGGAAGACTGTGAGCCTTACAGCTAAGGGGCAGGGTTTTTATCTCATGAAACCACAACATCTGTCAGTTTTACAATGTGGGGGTATCACTGGCCCATTACAGACCAGGAACACGGTGATTACATTCCTCAAAAAGAAGCAGGGTTCAAGCAAGGCTTAGGTAAACAAGCAAGTCAACACTAGGTAAACATCCTCCCAGGATCTACATGTTGCATGGTTTCCAGCATTATCTAGAACCTTCTTTGGCTCCAGGGAATTTTTATGAGTCTAGAGGTTTTTACAAGTTTCAACACCAACCAACCAAACAATCAAAAAGTAAAAAACAAAAGAAGAACAAAATAGCCAGGTATGCTAGTGCATGCCTCTCATCTCAGCACTCAGGAAGCCGAGGCCTCCAACCCTGAGTTGGAGGCCAGCCTGGGCTGCAGCATGAGTTCAAGAGCAGCCTGAATTAGCGAGACCCTGTCACAAATCACTAAGAAAACTGATATCCTCAGAGATTCCCTGCAGATCTTAATATCTTTGAAGGCTGCCACAGCATCCCTCTGATTAGAAAACCATAAGTAGCTGGACATGGTGGCACATAAGCATAATCCTAGGATTCTGGAGGCTGAGGAAGGGGGATCACAAATTTGAGCACAGCTTGGGCACTCAGTGAGACTGTTTTAAAATTAAAAACAACAACAACAAACACAATACCAAACAGGGCTTGGGATATAGCTCAGTGCAAAGGCCCTGGGTTCATCTGGTAGTACCACACCTGCACAGGTATGCATACACAGAGACACACAGCCGGGAAGGAAGAAACAGAGATACAGACACAGATACAGACAGAGAAACATATTTGTTAAATACTAACATACTTAGCAAAGGAAAACTGGGAAAGTATCTTAATTCATGGAGTAACTCTACTGCCCCAAGCAGGATCCCACTGATCATTCTCCTTTATGAACAAACACACAGCACCCTTCAGCTAAGTATCTCAAATATTCATAAACCAAAGTTAGTAGGATATTGGAAGAAGAACAGATGCGGTGGTCCACCTCTGTAATCCCAGCACTCTCGGTGGCTGGGCCAGCAAGAGTATCGAGTTCACGCCCAGAACACAAAACGCAGCCACCTAGCGAGAACTCATCTCAAACTAAGAAATAAAAATAAAAAAGGGCTGGAAACAGCTCATTACAAATGCCCTGGGTTCAAGCCCCATTACCACAAGACAAATAAAAGAGACACAGCCACACAAAGAGGTTTTATATCAGATCCGCAGGACCAAAGTACATAAAGCATATGAAAAACAAACCATTTCATATAGATGGAAAAAGGATTGATCACTCCAGAAGGTTGCCTAAATTAGCTCTCCAGTAGGAAGAAGGAAAAAACACTTCCTAAGTATGTGCGTGTGCACGCATCAACCTTGCTCAGGTTAAATCATCCTGGTTTTTTTAAAATCACATAATGTATTCAGATGTAAATCTAAGTCACGTGCAGAAAAATGCAAATTAAAAAATTATGTTTGATAGGATTCTCTAAGCATGTTACCCAAGTCAGAATTAAACACAAAATTTGACTAGGTCATATTCAGAAATCTTCCCAAAGCAGTAAAACTCATAAAGTAAAGTTCTGGAAAAGTGGATACTTATAATGCACAGATTTAGCTGCAGTCTGTATAACCGAATATATATATAAGGCACCAGTAGGGCTAAGACTATGATTTTGTTTAGTTTCATTTTGTATTTGTTTTGTTGAGGCAGGATGTCCTCTTGCCCAGGCTACTCTCCAACTCCTCAGCTCAAAGTGCCCTCTTCCTTTGGTCTCCCAAGTACCAGGGACTCCAGACCCACAACCATGCCTAGCTCAACAGCATGGATTTTTTGTTGGTCTTTTTCTTTGTTTGAGGGTCTCACTAAGTGGTTCACGCTGCCCTTGAGCTCACTTTGTAGCCCAGGCTGGTCTCAAACTTGCAACGATCCTCCTGTCTCAGCTTCCTGAAGGCTGAGATTATAGGCATGAACCGCCACACCTGGCTAACAATATGGATTCCGATGCTAGAATGAACTGAGAAGAACACCTGGTCTACACTAAGTGTAATACACATCAGCCAGTGTTTGTGATGCTTAAAAAGCATAGACCTATGGTGAATAAGTACTCAAAAGAAGCCCAAATGAAAAGTAGTTGAAAAGCTGGGCGAGATGATGCACGTCTACAATTCCAGCTACTTAGCCTGTCAAGACCAGAGGATCAAGAATTTGAGGCCAGCCTGGGAAACTTAACAAGATCCCATTTCAAAATTAAACTTCAGGTAGCCCCAAGGATAGCTCGGTAGTACAGGGCTGGTCCAACATTAGCAAGGGCCTAGTTTCAATCCCCACTACTATTACTACTACTAGTACTACTACACACACACACACACACACAGAAGTGGCAAAAGATACACATTCATGCTCACAGCAGTATTGTTTCCAATCTCTCTCTCTCTCTTTTTATCGGTACCACATATGGAACTCACAATCTGCTTGCAAGGCAGGTGCTTATGCCACTGAGCTAAATCCCCAGGCCCTGTTTGCAATATCTTGACTGACAGAAACAACAAAATGTCCACCCAAAGACTAATGGATAAACAAAATGTGGACTTGTGCTTGGCCTGAAGGCCAGTCAAATAATCTCTTGACTCAACATGGGTCAAGATCTGGATTGGAGCCTCAGCACCACAAAGACAAAAAACGAATGTGGCAATGAGTACATCAGAGTACAATTCAGTCATAAAAAGAAAGGAAATTCTGAAACCAACTACAACAGCCATGAATCTTGAGGAAATTATGTCAGGTGAAAAACACGAGTCACAGAATATTACACACATGGCTTAGAGAGCTCAAGCTCATGGAACATAGAACATAGCGTGCTTGCCATGGCGCGAGAGAAGAGCTGTACTACACGTCTCAACAGAGAAAGAATGATGAGGAAGATTATATTAGGGAGCAAGTCAAAGATGAAAAACCTTAATGAAACTTAGCTGGGCAGCTACGGAATCAACTAGTTTCCTACCACTCCACTGCTCACAAAATAAAACTCGAAGTGTGATCGGATCACGGGGTTTGAACAAACCCAAGAGCTTCTGCTGAGTGGCCACCCATCCTCTCCTACCCCCAGTAACTGGTGGCTTTATGTGAGTCCCACCCAGAAACTACATGAGAATGAGACTCATAGCATACATGATCTTAGCCAAAAGACCAAGAAGCAATTATCATACTGTTAAGTCAAGCAATGTAGGCACTGAAAACATATTTGACCCGTCCTAGAAGAGCTTCCCTGACCTACCAGGCTGGGAAGAAACAAATAGCCAGAAGTACTAAGAAAGCATCCTAGGCGGCCTGGCATTGAGGCACAACAAGCCTTGAATCCCAGCTACTCACAAGGTTTGGATTGGGCAAGTCCCAGGCCAGCCTGGGCACATTGGCCAGACCCTGCAAGAAAAAGGGCTCATGAGGGAGTGGTGCATGGTAGGGCGCCCCTTGCTTGGTTCCATCTTTCTTTTGAGGTGTCTCTCCCCCTCAAAAAGTGACGACCTGGGGTTGAATGGTGGCTTCAGGTCAACTAAGGTCTGGACTGTGGTGGCACTTCGAGGAGCATCTGAAAGGAGTGGCAATTGCTACCCTGCCCAGCGCACATCGTGGCCATCCTCAGGACTCAAGGGGCTCTGATTTGCAACCCTTCAGTAGTTTTCAGCTGGAAAGAACATGCAAGGCTAAGAAATAAGAACATTCACCCAAGGGGGTAGGGAGGGAGGGAGCCACTTCCCCAGAGCCATCACGCTGCACAGGCCAGGAAGCACTGGAGACACCTTTCAAACCCCCTCCCAACTGCCAGAGACTGAACCAGAACTACACCCCACCGGGGCACATTTGTGAGGCACTGACCTGCTGGCTCCAAGACGCCTTCTCCACTCTGCACCTCAACAGGAAGGAGTCCAACCCAGGTCTCTCAAGACTCATGGAACCCAGGGCAGCTCCCGGCTGGGTGGTTCCTTGCTTACTTTGCCAGCTGCTTCTCTGGTGAGGCCTGCTGTGAAGCACCTAGGGTCTCAGTGGCCTCCATGCTGCATCCTGGCAGTGGGAAGGCGTGCATGGGTGCAGGGAATGAACATTGACAGCCCTCCTTGTGGCTTTGGGGAGAGGTGAGAATTGACCCACAATCCCCCGCGAGAGTAGGAAGGCAGGAAGGCAGGCAGGCTAGAGAGATGGCTGGAGAGAAGAGTCCAGAGAGTGGAACCTGAGTGCACTTTGCAGTGCAGATCTGTAATGCCACCACGGGGGCCCCAGCAGGAGGGCCAATTGTGGGCCAACCCTGTCTACATAATGAGTTTGATCCCAGTCCAGGCTACATAGTGTGTTTGAAACCAGCTTCCATAAAGTAGTGTGCTCGAGGCGCTCTAGGCAACAGGCCTTTCTTCATCTCGATGTCTCACACAGGGCTAGAATGTGTCAGGATTATGCTTAGGTGAGCTGTTTTCTATTATTGCACACACACACACACACACACACACACACACACGCACAAACCCCACACTTTGTAAATACATGACAGAAACCATCGGTTTATGCGGCTGCAAACAAAACCAGTATGACAAGGATCGCCACAAATCAGGCATCACTCCTCCAGGATGCTGTGTCTCAATTCGCTGCACCCTTAGGCTGCACACACAGGTGGCGGCGTGAACTCGGCTCCCAAGGTGATCGCTGCCTTCGCTCCACGCCACTTCCTCAGGACAGTCCGCCCCTGTGCCGTCCACATCGCGCTCCTGCCTGCTGGTCGGGTACGGCTCTTCCGAGGGGACCCACAGCCCGGCTCCCACCGGAGGGCGACCCGCGCCCCTCGCCCGGCCCTGGTTCCCGGCCTCACCCTCAGCAGCCGGGCTTCGAGGGCCGCGTACAGCATCTGCAGAGGCCGCAGCAGCTTGGCAAAGCCCTGGGACACGGTGGCCCCGAGCCCAGTGGCTGATACCGCGTCCATCGCAAAGGACCGCTCCCTGCGGACCGGCCGGAAGGGCCGGACTGACAGTGGCAATCACTGTCCTTCCCAGAGGCGGCAGGGGGCGGGACTGCACAGCTACACCCTCCCCTTCCAGCTGCGCTATGAGCCTTTAACACACGGTCTCCAGTGCGATGGGGCCGCGCGCCACAGAGAGGGCGGGGCCAAACCTGGGCACCGTGGGGGGTCGGGGGAGCGCCCAATGAGCGAGGCCGGGGGCGGGGTCCCGTGGCTGCAGAACAATGCCCAGCGGGTAGCCGCGCTAAGGGCGTGAGACTCTGGCCCCTTTACCGCTGGACCTGGGCGCCAGGCCTCGCGTCCGCTGCTCTGTGGCTGCGGGCCTGGCTGGCACCTTCGCCGGGTTGGGCGGGGCCACGCGTCAAAGTGCAGGATATAGACCCCTGGCCGCGGCGGGTCACCTCAGAGCCCGGGACGCAGGGGGCAAGCGGGCTGCGGGGCTCCAGCGCACCGCGGCTGGCCGCTTGGCAGGTGGCGAGCATCATAGGTGACGGAGCCTCCCCACGTTATTCACTGTGTGGACTAAAAGGGGCTGGGGATTTAGCTCAGTGGCATAAGTGCCTGCTTTGCAAGCAGGCAGTCGTGAGTTCGATCCCCGGTTTTTGAGTCATAATCAGGAAACACCAATTGAGTACATTGAAAAAAATCACCCAACGCTTTTTTGATATAGGCGTTTGTTTCTGCCATCAGTTGCTGATCCTTTTTTTTTTTTTTTTTTTTTTTTTTTTTTGTCTTTTTTCCTTTTTATCAGTACCGGGGAAAGAATTCAGGACCGGCTGCTTGCAAGGCAGGTGCTTATGCCGCCGAGCTAAATCCCTAGTGTCCTGAACTTTGACCCGTGGCGCCGCCCAACCCGGCAAAGGTGCCAGCCAGGCCCGCAGCCACTGAGCAGCGCGCTGGAGGCCAGGCGACCAGATCCAGCGGTGAAGGGGTCAGAGCCTCGTGCCTTCAGCGCAGCTACCCGCCGGGCATTGCTCTGCGGCCACGGGACCCCGCCCCCGGCCTCGTTCATTGGGCGCTCCCCCGGGCCCCCGCGGTGCCCAGGTTTGGCCCCGCCCCTCTCTGCTGGCGCGCGGCCCCATCCATGTGTTAACGGCTCATAGCGCAGCTGGAAGGGGAGGGTGTAGCTGTGCAGTCCCGCCCCCTGCCGCTTCTGGGAAGGACAGTGCTTGCCACTGTTAGTCTGGCCCTTCCGGCCAGTCCGCAGGGAGCGGTCCTTTGCGATGGACGCGGTGTCAGCCACTGGGCTCGGGGTCACCGTGTCCCAGGGCTTTGCCAAGCTGTTGCGGCCTCTGCAGATGCTGTACGCGGCCCTCGAAGCCCGGCTGCTGAGGGTGAGGCCGGGAACCAGGGCCGGGCGAGGGGCGCGGGTCGCCCTCTGGTGGGAGCCGGGCTGCGGGTCCCCTCGGAAGAGCCATACCCGACCAGCAGGCAGGAGCGCGATGTGAACAGCACAGGGGCGGACTGTCCTGAGGAAGTGGCGTGGAGCCAAGGCAGCCATCGCCTTGGGAGCCGCGTTCACACTGCCCGCTGTGTGTGCAGCCTAAGGGTGCAGCGAATTGAGACACAGCATCCTGGAGGAGTGATGCCTGATTTGTGGCGCTCATTGTCATTGTGATTTTGTTTGCAGCCGCATAAACCGATGGTTTCTATCATGTATTTACAAAGTGTGGAGTGTATGCGTGCGTGTGTGTGTGTGTGTACAGTAATAGAAAACAGCTCACCTAAGCATGATCTGGACACATTCTGGCCATATGTGAGACACCGCGATGATGAAGGTCCTGTTGCCAACCTGGAAATAGGCTCAACTCACTCCCTATGTTTAGAGACTCCACATACCGGACAAGAACGCGAGCCTGCCTGTATCCCCTTTCCCTCAGTTTCATCAAGGCACCTGGAAGTTGGTTTAGACTATTGAGAGGAGATTGAGAGTATCTGTGATGATCGTTTGTGATTGCTCTGCCAGTTCTCTTAACGTTCCCATTATTTGTGCCCGCCCTTTTCAGCTGGTTGCTACCTTGCCTGAGCATGTTCAGCCCCGGCCTGACTTTTATGGGCTCCCCTGGAAGCCTGTGTTGTTTACTGCCTGTTTGGGAATCGTTTCGTTGGCCATTTTCTTCTGGAGGACAGTCCTTGCTGTGAGTGAATTAACTTGTTCTTTGACTTCTGAATACATCGAGCATTCTATTATCATTGGCCCTTTCAGTTATTAACATAAACAAATCAGTAGTTATAATTCAAGCCAGTTTTCTGAAATAATTTAATGTAACTTTGGTATTGGCAAGGACTTAAGAGCAAGCTAAGCATATTTACTTGTTAGTAGAGTTGGGGACTCGTACAGCCATCCTGAAAAGCCGTTTAATAATTCTATATATCACAAGCCTTTAAAATGGGATACAAAACAGGATAAGAAATATACATTGTTTTCATATGGTATGATAATATCAGTACACGATCTTAAAGAAATAAATTACATGTTAAGATTTTATACAAAGGTGTTAGATGAAATAGTATTTAATAGAGTAATAACTGGGCAAAACCTAAATGATCTGTATTAGGAAATATCATGTTTCATCTTATTTATATCCATAGAACAGAATAATTAGGCTGCTGTGTGTATTTCAAAGGCAGGGGGCAAAGAAGTTGTTTACAATTTAATGTGAAGTGGGAAAAGTGGAAACGGACCGTGAGGTGTTGATAAATTGTGTTGTAGAAACACAAAGAGCAAGAAACACAGTAGAAACGTCGAGGCAAGATCAGGAATAGTGGTGCGTGTATTCCTGCAGCCCTGGTGGAGAGGGAGGCTGAGGCAGGAGAAGTGCAAGGCTGAGCCCAGCCTGGGCAACTTGGTCACTTACCAAGAGCCTGTCTCAAGAATTAATGGGAAGGCTGAGAATGTAGTTCATTGTGAAGGCCCTGTCCCCGGTGCCAAAAAACAACCCCCAAACAGCACCTTATTAAAGATTCTTGTGAGGACTTCTCAAATCTCACTGAATAGCTTCTTACATGAAAGAATACCTGGAAGGGTAAGCAGAAGTGTGTGTGGGTGAAAACGTGCTGTTTCCCCTGCTCCCCTCCTTCTGCTCCCCTGCAGCTGCTCCCCAGCAGGGCTCTCAGGCTCAGCCCTGCAGCTTCACACCCTGCACCTGGGCTCACTTCCTCCCACTCCCTGAGGTCCAGTGGCTCTGAGGCACTACTCCTCATCCTGGAGAGGACACTCGTCCCCCCACCCCACCCCATGGCCACTGTGCTCTGCTGTCCTACACTTTTCTTTATAGCACTCAGAAGAAGACAGAGTCTGTATTACAGAGAAGTGCAGTGATCGCTGCTGTGCTCTTTAGTTAGTTACAGTTTAGGATTTATGACCCCAGAAGTCACTGGGAGGAAGAACTGGCTCTGTGCTCTACCTAGAAGCTGTTAGCTGTCATTTCTCTGTGTTCTTCTGGTGTCTTCCCTTCCGCTTAGATTTATTACTGTTTTTGTGGTCTGGGGAAATCAGATGATGAGGTGTATTAGATTATTTCTTAATTGCATCAATAGATCACTTGAAATAGGGTTTCTGAGGCATCTTCCAGTGAGTGAGAGGCGTATCTTAGTGCAAAGGTTATGCTGGTAATCTCGCTCACCAGTCTTCCATATGGTCACCATTTCGAGACTGCATGCTTGTTGTTCGGGATTGTCAAGTAATTCTGAGTAAATAATAATGTGCGTATTATAAAAACAAGCATTTCACTGTTGAAGACAAAGGCTCATCTCATAAGCTTGGTGTTCACTTGGTACTGGCACATAAACCTGTGTGTAGCTGCGAAGTAAGACACATTCCTTACTGTTCTTCTGTATCAGAGGCTATTTATAATACATTTTTAATTGTATGGATTTATCCTGAACTAAACAGTTGCTAAATTTTCATTTGGTTATGATCCTGACTTGTGTTAGGAACTATGTATTTCTTTTAATCAAATTGTTGACATCAAATTTAATTCTCTCTTTCTCTTCTAGGTCAAGGAGAGAACATACCAAGGTAAATCTCTTCCTGTTGGTGTTTGGGAGGACTTTTAGGCAGGCTAGGAGAGACAGTGACTTTGGTGTCTGATATGACTTACTAACTGCTCCACATTTTACTGTTGCTACTTACCATGGTATAGCGGGGAGGATGATGGTACTGGCTGAGATAGGAGATGTGGGGTCAGGGGGGTGACTGCTAACATGGAGCAGACCAAACGTGGCTGGACCACACAGGTGTGGAGAGAGGACAGTGTGTCTGTGCTAGGGACACCTCGGCCCCTATAGGTTTATCAGCACAGGAGCTAGAGAGACAGCAGTGTGGATCAGTAGCCTGAACTTGCTGTTTCTCTTTGCAAATGACACTCATTTGAAGTGATTCCATTGTCAGAGAACAAGTGCCTTTGTGAAGTGAGCCTCTCCAACTATGTAACATTTTACTGTATCTCCTGCCTTTGCAGTAAATTGCTATCTCGTCAAAACAAATGTTACTATCGTTTTCTTAAAGTTTAACAGTGTCCTGTGGACTGTTGCTCTTAGCTTCGGGTCTCTGGAAAGGCAGATAGCTGTGCAAAGCTCTTTCTCTCACGGAGCCTCACACGAGTCCTTGCTGCTGAGACACTGTGCAACTCAGTTCCATTTAGTGCTCCTAATACTGGCTTTTTCCTCTTTTTATAGTCACTGAACAGCAGATTGCTGAGAAGCTGAAGAATACCACAAAGGACAGTGCAGAACTTGTCAAAAAAGTGTCAAGTTATAAACAGAAGGTAGAACCTGTTTCACGGCCCCTCCTCTAGCATGTCTGTGGTGTAGCTCAGTTATTATGGTATTTTGAAGGCCTATGTTCTCACTTCATCATTTCCCCCTGAGCCCTCCAGATCTTACGAACCATCCTGTATAAAGTGAACGCTCTGCTCGCTTCCTTGGAACAAGGTTTCTTTTGGTAGCACAGTGACTTCTGTTACTTAGTTCTGCATGTGTTTTTTACATAGATCGAGGAATCAAAGAAGCTTATTCTGGAGACGAAGGAAAAAAATTCTCATCAAACAATTAAATACAAGGTAAAAGTCCTTCTCTTTTTGAGATTATAGTCTAAAAACAGAAGCAGGCATTAATGTGTATTGCTACTTTTAATATCTTTTCTAATAGGCTGAAATCAAGGTGCTTGAAGAAAGAAATAAATTTCTGACAGGTATTGCCAAAACTGTTGGTGTTATATTCAAATCTGAGAGGAAACGAAACGTGCAAAATCAGGATTTGGTGAGTTCTTGCTGCTGCGTGTTACTACAGTTGTATTTTTAGCTATTTCATAAATTAGCTGAACTGTTCCCATGCTGTTAACTCCTTAAGATTAGGAGTAACAGAACAGAACATGCCTGTACCCATTTTGTGGGATTTTTAGTACTAACCCAGTAGGACCTTTTTATAGGCATGGGAAGTGTTTTGATCCTGAAATTTGGATAATTTCATGGCTGAGTCCTCCAGAACACACAGAGTCACTAAGAAACTGGTCCAGTTGAGTAGTCTGTGTAAACTGGTTTTATTTCACAGTAGACTCTGTGCCTTTCGAATAGTTTTAAAATCCCCTAAGTGGAAATGTAGTGAGGAGAGTTCTCATGCTTCCTGCCTCCTGTGTGGCCTGGTCCTTTGCTCAGCACAGACCTGGTAAGTTGCCCATTTTCAGTCCTTTGTGCACCATGCTCTTTGGCGGGAAGTCATGACACAAAACCTGCAGTTAATCCCCAGTACCAATGAAAAGGAAAAAGACAAAAGACAAAAAAAAAAAAAAAAACAAAAACGCTGGGTTAGGGTCACTCCTTGAGCCTGGATTGTCATAAATATTGAGAAATTCTGCACATGAGATTTTTCTGTTCCCCCAGAAACACTTTTTTTGTGTTGTTTTGCTTTGGTTTTGTCTTCTTGAGACTGGCTTTTGTTATGCAGTTCAGGCTGGCTGTGAACTCACTTTGAAGCCTAGGCAGGCCTAAAACTCTCCTCTCCTGCCTCAGCCTCCCAAGTGCTAGGATTACAAGAGTCCACCATACCCAGCATTCTTACCATTCATACAAGAAAATGTCTACAGTGATTTTGGAGCTTTTGGGGGGGGGGCAGGGATCGAACTCATGACCCAGTGCTTGGTGGGCAGGCAGTTATGCTGCTGAGCTAAATCTCCAGCTCTTTGAGGGCTTTTTTCTCTTCATGCCAGCAGAAAAGCTGTTCATTTTCCGTGGTTTGCTTGAACATTTCTTCATACTATGTTGTGTGGTCACCCCAAAGCTTGAGGGTACCATGAAACTGTTCACTTCAGTTTTTTTCCTCAGCTCTTTTTTTTTTAATTTAAAGAAAGACTAAACAAAACAGAAAATGGGTAGAAATAATACATAATTTAAAAGAAAGAAAATAAACAGTAAGAAATCACTACTTGATGATTACAGATTGTCTCCTTACAAATAATTATTGAAGATAGTAAAGTGGAGCTTATAAAGTGGGGATTCAAACAGTGAGATTGCAACCAGTTCTGTTCAACTGTCCAACAGAAACTTAGAAATATGGTCATCAACCCTACACACTTACACATACATGCAGTTATTCATCTCTTCAATTATGTTGAGATTGAATAAACCCAAGCAGGCTAATATCACTCTGAACAAAGAATAATATTATTGCTGGGTTTCACATTATGACACTCCAGGATCAGCACTGGGTATTTTAGTGTGTCTTTTTCCTCAAAGTATCTGTTCATTACATCATGTGTCATATGTGCAGTTCTCATAAACTGTTTATAGATTCTACACATCCATGAGTATTAACATGTATTTCTATCCTTTCTAAATTAGAGGGAGAAACAAAACAAAGCAAGGCAAAACAAAACATATTCCTATAAACACATGAAATGAAAAAAGATAAGACCATTGTACAAATCATTCTACCATAGTTTCTGTGTTGTCTCTTGTTATCTCCAATCGAAATGGCTATATCATCAGACAGAGTATGACTGAATATGTCAGTACATAACACTTGTGATAATAAAAACACAACTTTGTATATAGTATAGAACTTCAAAAACTGGCAGTTATCAAACCAGAATGTGTATCATTGAGTCTTGTCATCTTCAGTGTAATTGCCTATACTCTCAGACTTGATATTATCTATCAATCATATCAGTTTTGAATAAAATCTTCTTTGCCTCATTTCTGTTATGCTCTTTTTTGCCATCTCGTGTCTGCTTATCTTTTCATTCTGTTTTCTGCTCCTTTCATTGAGGCCTCTCTGCCACTGTTCCTGGAGTCCTAACACTTTTCGCTCTCTCTCGAATGCCCTGGAGTATTCTCTGTAGAGTTGGATTGGTGGTTGCAAATTTCCCAAGTTCCTCTTTGTCTTGGAAGCATCTTGTTTCTCCATTAATTTCTAGAGACAGTTTATCAGGGTATATCAATCTGGGTTGGAAGTTACTTTCTTTCAGGGCTTGGAATAATTTGCTCCAGGCTCTTCTTGACTTGACGGTTTATGTCGAAAAGTCTGCCATTATTCTGATGGGCCTTCCTCTGTAGGTTATCTGTTTCTTGTCTCTAACAGCCTTTAATATTCTGTTCTTATATTGAATTTCTGGGATCTTGATTATTATATGCCTGGGTGTAGCTGTGTTTTGGTTGTAGGTGGCTGGAGTTCTGTATGCCTCATATATCAGAATATCATTTCTTTTTCCTATGTTTGGGGAGTTTTCCTTAATTATTTCTGTGAATAACTTTGTAGTTCCTTTGTTTGTATCCCAGATTCTTCACTTACATTCTTTATTCTCAAGTTATAGATCCTTCTGTCATCTTCTAGCCTTTGTATTGTGACTGCTTGTTTCCTTGTTATTTTTAAAGTTTTCCCTTTTATACTCCCACATTGCAAAATTGTCCTCCAGTTTGGATAATCTATCCTTAGTTTCTTTCAAGCTGATTTGCCATCTTTCCATAGAGTTTTAATTTCCTGATGATCTCTTTGAATCTGCTGCATGTATTCTATATTTTTCTAATATTCTTCACTAAATGGTTCTCTCCTGTGTTTGAGTTCCTCCCTTCTTCTGTCTGTGTCTGCTTGAGGGGTGCTGGGTATCTCTTTTATTAATCTTCTTATATCTAGCTTTATTTGTCTAAATGTTTCACTTTTGAACTCGTCTATGAGGTCCCGAATATATCTCTTTATGTCCACTGGTGCTGTGTCTGATATAGCATGTTTGCTGTTTTCATTCTCCTTTGTATTTACCTGTCCTGGGTCAGTGTTCTCAGGGTTGGGGCCTGGGGCTTTTTGTTGTTGCTTCATCTTCCCATCATTTTGCTTCTTCCAGGAGGCCCCAGTTTCCTTCTTTGTTGGTTACACTTCTTCTGAAGTGTGTTGACTAGATGACCCTTCCCACTGCAGTGTTCTAGTGAGTTGCAGACAGGGACAGCGTATGCTGGCCCCTGCCCTCCAGATCAGTCAAGCTGTTGTGACCTGCACTACTGTATTACTATGCGTGGCCCCCCTCCAGACCAGCCAAACCTCCGAGGACCCACTGGGCCAGTGTGTTTAGAGTTGGACACCGCTGCAGGGACTTGACCTCAGATAACTTATTGGGTCTCAGCTGGTTCACGTGACCCAGACCTAGCACACTCCACCAATCCCATTTGGGAAGGGGACAATTGACTGAAGTCACTGCTGCCCCTTGTACTTGCCAGTCCTGCCAGCTCCCAGAACGTCGTCCGCCAGAGCCCCCATATTTATGGAATGGCTCCACTCCCGTCACTCACAACAGGTCGATGTAGGTTCCCCGCCAACTCAGCTCTCCTTTCAGCTCGCTGACCCTCCAACTCAATATAAGGGTGCCTCCAGTGAGTCGAAGCAGCGGGACCTCCGAAGGCTTGGCAAGTTACGGCGGAACCCCATCAAGTCCAGGCGAGGCCCCGGCAAGTCATGGCAGGACCCCAGCCAGTGGCGGTGGAAGCCCGGCAAGGTGTGGTGGAGACCCAGCAACGTGTGGCAGGGACCTGGCAAGCTGCCGAGGGGACCTGGCAAGCCCCTGCGGAAATCCGGCAGGGTGCGGCAGGACCCACCAGGGCACGGCGGGACCCTGGTAAGTCGTGGCAGGACACTGGAAGGGTGGGGCAGGACCCCAGGAAGTCACAGCATCAGCCAGTCGCAGCGGGACCTCAGATGGTTGGCAAGTCACCTTAATTTCTTCTTGGGATGGGAGAATTCATCTCCCTCTGTTGGGGCTCCCCACTCTGTATTGTGTTGAATTCTAAGTTGACTATCTCAGGGGGCTTCCATAGCCAGTTGTTACCGATCTGCCATCTTTGCTCCAGGATCTCCCTCAGCTGTTTAACCTGAGATTTTTTCCCTAGACCGCATTGAATCCCGATTTTACCTAAAACATAGTGGATGGCTTTGCTAAGCCTCCTCTGATAGTTACTGCCTCACATGGGCCATTGGAAGGTTAGATCAGGGATCTGGGTTCAACACACCCACAATGAGGCCAGAATTCCCATGGCTAGCTGCCGGCAGCTCCCATTTGAATGGGACACACATGTCCGCCTGCTAGGGGGAATACAGAGGATAGTCCCATTAGGTGGTATGGACAGTCCTGCATGCCTTGCAGCAGTTCATGCCAGTGGGAATTTGTTAAGCCCCAACGATACATGCCCATGTGTGCCATCTGGAAGTCAGGCACTGGAGTCAGCAGGCATTTTTCAGAAGGACTTGATGGATGGGGTCAGCTTCCTTGACAGCTCAGGGTGGAAGCCACGCTCCATGGTCCTGAACCAAGTCTTAGCCTCTGTGATGGGGCATGGAGGGACACGACTCCTGCTTCCCCACCCCACTTGCATGGTCCTGTGCCTCTGTGCAGTCCCCAGTGCAGAGGGATCCTTGCATGTGACTTTCAGCTAGAGCAGGAAGCTGAAGACCGGGAGTATGTGCATGCTGAACTCAGCGAGGAAATCAGGTCCTTAGAGATGTCTCAGAGGCATCTGGAAGCTACTCTCGCTCATAAGGATGATAGAATCAGGGTAAGTTACCATGGCTAACCCAGCCTGTTCATGAACACTCGGGAAACAAACTCACTGTGAGGATGGAGAGGCTCTTAACTGCCTCTCACTTCTCTGCTAGGCTCTGACCAACTGCATCATACAGCTGAATCAGTTTGAGAGTGGATCTGAATCTGAGGGTCCAGGTCCAGGCAGATGTGAGCCAGGTGAATTAGCCAATGGAGAAGTGGGAGGTAAGACCGGCCCTAGCTCAAAGGCCTTTTTTTTCTTTTCTTGGAACCAGGGATCAAACTCATGACCTTGCACTAGCCAGGCAGGTGCTTGTGCCACTGAGCTAAATCCCCAGCCCTTCAAGGGCCCTTTTTTTGTCTTTGTCTCTTTACTGTTATTTTAAACAAGCTCTCTATGTAGTGGCTGGTCTTGAACTCACTGTGTAGCCCACACTGGCCTCAAACCCACAGCAAATCTTCTACCTCAGCCTCCTAAGCATTCTTGTCTTTAATTCCACACATAGATGCTGCTTCTCAGCTGACTTTCTTCTTGCCCCACCCCATGCAGCTCTTAGAGTGAAGGACCACAAGAGGATGAGAAAAATAGGGAGACAAATCAGGGGTCCTGGGGAGCCTTACCCTCCTGATGGGAAGAAAGGAACTGGTCCCTCACTTCAGGGCTGTTTGTTTATACCTTTTAGCAACTTAATGTCACATGACACCCTGTTGTCCTAGCAGCCCACTGTTCAGATTGTCTTGGCGCTTAGTGTTCTCTGGGCTGAGGAAGCTTCTTCACATGGCAGCCCCAGGGGATCTTTGTTCTTGGGACAGCCATGCCCTGGCCCTGCACGTGTGGTCAGTTTCCAGCTTCAATGGCTCCCAACATCTGAATGATTCATACTCATGTCTGGGTTGCTGGGGTGCAGTAGCAGCAGGCAAGCAGGGAAAGCTGTTTTTCCACCCCTTGAGAACCGGATGTATACGCTGGAGCCTTTTGCCTTTGTGTTTGCCTCTATGCCAGTGTCTTAGTTACTTTTTATTCATTGCGGAAACAAAATATCTGAAGCCTAAAGTTGAGGAAGGAAAGGTTTATTTCTTACAGTTCTGGAGGTTTCAGTCCGTACTCAGTTGGCTCCAAGGCAGGGTAGCATGGAAGAGCCACAGTTCATGGCGGCTGCAAACAGCAAGGCTGAAACTGGCAAAAGAGCAAGACACACCACGCTCCGTACATTACATCACATCCTGGCTCCACCCCTTTGTGGATGTAGCGCCGACACTATCAATCCAAGCACTAGATAATGAACCAATCGCAAATGTACAATGCAAACTCATGAGGCCTGGGGGCCACAGGCATAAACCATGACAGCCAGAGAAGAAACTTTCTCAGCTTCCTGCAGATGACACTTGGATCCACGCTCACGGCCTCTGCTATTCTGCGGTTCTCAGGCCCTTGGCCAAGGGTCACCTAGAGTATGGGGATGGGGGAGCCACAGTCCAGGCTGTGAGGACAGAGGCTGGAGAGCAGCAGGGTGTGAGATGAGGAAAGTGGTCAGGGCACCGCCCCAGCTGCAGAGGGTGCTCAGGGTCCCATGCTGGCCAGCTCCCCCTAGACCATCGTGTGGCAGAGCTAGGCCTGCTCAGCCACAGCCCAGGTGGCATGCTGCCTTGGCAGGAGCTCACAAAATCTAAGGGTTCAGCTGTCATAAAAGTCAGTGTGCCAGTTCTGTTGGTGAATTATTTTTCTTTCAGTGTTTGATGAGCATTAGTTTAGTTTTGTGGAAGTCAGGACAACAGTGTTAGAAACGGCACAGGAAGAAACAGCCACACTTGTTCTCTTTGTAGGTGAGGAGAGTAAGCTGAAGACTGGCATGAACCAGCTGATGGATGTCTCTGGGGTGAGTCCCTTCACAGCACACCCCCAGGGGCCCATGAGTCCTGACTGTGCCTCACTTTCAAGCCTGTGCCTCTCCCTCACAATTTTCAGACACAAGCCAAAATATCCGTGCTTCGGGAGGAACTCAAACTCCTGCAAGTTAAGCCGAAAGCCTCCCTGTCTGCTAACTATGACCTGAAAGGTAGGTCCCTGAACACATGGTGGTCAGGCTAAGCACTGGCATGGATGAGGCAGGGATGCTGGGAGCCTGGTTCTGTGTCTTTCGTGGTGCCCTTGGTGACACATCTCACCTCCCAGACCAGATCAAGAAGCTGAATGAGGACTGTGGCATGCTGCAGGCAGCCAAGGCTGGGCTGGAGGAGGAGTGTAGGATGCTGCAGCAGAAGGTGGAGATCCTGAAGGAGCTGTACCAAGAGAACGAGATGGAGCTGCAGAAGTGAGTCCGAGACATTTTGCCCAGTGTCTCGTGCTGGCCATCCCTGTCACTTCTGATTATCTCACAGCTTTGATGTGCAGTGATCATAGAGGAAACTTGAGGCACAGAGTGCTGCTGGCTTCGTGACCCGGGGCGGCTCCTGCCTGTCAGCCGTCACCATCATCCAGTTAACAATTCAACCCAGCATCCCTGCCTCTGTAGACTCAGCTCCATGCTTGTTTCTTAAAGCCTAGGGATTTGTCGAGGGCTCAGTTCAGCATCTTTGGCATTGTCCTCAATGTGTGGGTGAAGGAGTTCAGCACTGGCCTCTGGAGCCCACAGGTCACTTTCTGGCTGGTGCTACAGGCTCCTGTCCACCCATTCGGCATTCCTGTGTGCTTATCATGGCCTAGGTCTAGAAGAACAGCTCTTCCCAGACAGCATGGAGGATGGGAGTGGGGGGGGGGGGGCTCCGCCCATTGCTTTTCCAGCCAGCTCAGCTGGGCAATCCTGGCTTCCCTCAGGGTACACTCATCTCCCACACAGGCAGCTAGTGCCTGGCGCATGCTGTGCTCTTAGCTTGTTCTGTTTGCTGATTAGAGAATTACAAGGAGAGGTAGGAGAATACAAGAATACAAGCAAATGGCCCGAGCCTGGAGCTTCACCTCCCTCCTGAGACCCTGTGGCTGCTGCTGGGTGGGGAAGTGGCCTGTGGGCCTAGCTCACCCCTGGCAGCTGCCTTTCACCTAGGAAACTGATTCAGGAGGAATTGGAGCTGCAGGAGCGAGACCAGTGGCTGTCGGCTCCAGATGAGAAGGTGGTGCTGGCCACAGAGGAAGTCAAAGTCTACAAGTGAGTGTGGTGTCTGAGGCAGAGGAACTGGGCAGAGTTGCTTTGTTACCTAGAAGAGATGGGCACAGAAGCATATGAACAGTCCAAGCATGGAATGCATTTAACACACACGGGGCGGGGGTCTATCTTAACAGACGGGAAGCTTGTTAACAGCGAAGCTCTTTTGCAGAAGTGTCCTGTGCCCATCTTTAGCAAAGCAGCCTGCTTCTGTCACACGTCCACACCCACAGAGTCTCGGTGCCCCGACAAGCCAGGGGCAGCATTTTGGGTCATTCTTGTGGCTATAATTTGAGGGAAAAACCTTTATGGGGAAGGTACCCTTAGTCAGATTATTTTGATAACGTTATTACAAGGACAGTTAAGGAAATTTACAAGTTGTCATCTCATAATCTCTAGCCATTAAATGAATAATCAAGAAACTGAGGTTGTTCACGCTGCACTCATCACGTTATAAAACGTTTCTGTATGATGAGGACTTTAAAGATCAGGCATGGTCAGATTGTTTCAGATTGTATTTGGTTCTCACTGCTACGTATTATTTTTAGGCAGAGAATTCATGAAATCGAGCAAGAATTAGAGAAAACAGAGCGCTCATTTAAAAACCAGGTAAGGAATAGATAGCCACGTGGTGACAGCATGCATTAATCCCCCACACAGACAGACATCAGAGGGCTGCAGCGGAGGGCTGTAGCGGAGGGCTGTGGCCATGGTGCCGCGTCCCTCAACCTGCGTCTTGCCTTGTTCTCTTGCAGCTTGCTATTCATGAGGAGAAAGCCCACGAGAATTTGGTAAGAGCCACCTCCTCGCCTCGCCCCCTCCAGCTTCACTCAGCCTCTGTGCTGAGCTGGCCCCTCTGTCTCCACAGGTCAAAGCCTGGCACACCGAGCGCCTAATTGCAAAGGAGAAGCGGGAGGCCACCAGCCTGCGGCACAGGTGAGCGGCCACGTGGCGTGACCCGTGGTGCCCACATTTTAGCCCGCTCGGAGTGACTATGGTCACCCCAGCTGCACTCTGTCTGCATGCAGGCTCCTGGAGATGACCGAGAAGCTGGCCATGAGTCAAGAGGAGCCAGTGATTGGCAAGCCGATGCCGGACCAGCCAGGAGTGCAGAATGCGCCCCGCAGAGGTGGGCGCTCTGTCCTTCTGAGTGCAGCTCAGGGAACTTAACCACTGCAGAGAAGTGGTAACCAGCGCGTGTTGTAGCCACAGGTCCCCAGAGCCAGAAAGGCTCCTTTGGCCCATACCCTGTGAGAGGCGATGAGTGCTCCCCGCCTCCAGGTGCAGAGCCCCCCCACAGGGCAGCCCTCTGCCAGCCTGAACTTCGCAGGCCGCAACATCCCGAGAGCCCACTCAGTTGAGTCTCTCCGGGGCCTCGCGGCCCAGACTCAAGGGCACTGTGCCACCTGCCCTGGGCACGGTTCCCTGAGCTCTGGTACAGAGCCTGGGTACTCCGGGCTCGAGATTTTCACTTAGCCCTGGGCCGTGTTTGGGCCCACCCCGATTGCAGTGCGCGAGCAGGGTCCTGGGAGCCAGCGCCCTCCTCGTCACTCCCAACCGCCTCCGGCCTCGGCATGGTGGAGGCCGGCAGTGTCATCCTCTCCCTCTCTGCACAGTAGTCGACCAGTGTGTGCACTTTCTTCCCCGGGCTGCCAGGGGCCGCTCCCAAGCTCAGCGGTTCTGAGTGTTGCTGGTTCTGCCTGCTGCTACCGAAGCACATGGTCGCCGGGTGCATGCTCGGTCTTCAGCATCCCTGTTTTCTTCCTACACAGCCTGGGACTGAAAGCCATCTCCGCCTCTGGCTGGGGCTGCTGCCTCAAAGCCTTCCCAGGCTGAGTCAAGCTCCCCAGGTCCACGAAGCGCTGGCCTGGTTGATCCCGCGCAGGCGCAGAGGCCGCCTTCGAGCCCCCCACCCCCTTGACCCCTGCCCAGTGAGCCTGGCGAGGCTGGCTCCCGTGCCAGGGATCCGTGGCCTCGCACCTCCCATGGGCCTTGCAGCTGCCCTGTCAGAGCCGGCCAAGCCTCAGCTCCCTTCAGGACCAGTGGAGGGGGCTCTGCCTTATCCCCGAGCGTCCCCGAGGGCACTTCCGAGAGTGTGCGCGCTGCCTCTTCCATCCTCATCCAGGGAGAGTCCTCTGAGTGCCTTCTCTGCCCCCAGATCCCGGTCCTGGGCCTGTGGCCAACAGTGACTCCCGCGGCTCCTCCCTGGCAAAGGGCATGGACAACGGCAAGGTGAGCCTGGGAGCCGCGCCCAAGCCACTCAATGCGCCCTCGGTTTCCTCTCTGTTGTTCAGCGGGCCTGGGCTTAGAGACCCCAGGCTGACTCAGCTGTCCCCATCTGACTCGGGCCTTCGCTATGGCTTAGGGTCCAGGGCACATGCTGAGTGCTGGGGCAAAGCACGCCTCACACCCTGGGCAGCCGTGCCCTGTGTCTTTTGCTTGTTACTTATTTTGAGTCAGAGTTTCCTTATGCAGCTCAAACTAGCCTTGACCTCACAGTACCCAGAGCTGACCTCCAGTTCCCTAGCAGTTCTCCCGCCTCAGCCTCCCGAGTGCCGGGATGACGGGTGTATATGACCACACTCGCTTGGGGAGCAGCTGTGAGGGTCCTCGGGGTCTGTGTTAGTCCGACCCCTTGGAATGATCGGAATGAGGTGGGTGTCAGCTCTGGTGCTCTGGGGGGAGTGGGACACTAGTTCAGGGACTCATGAACCAGGTCCCGGATGGCCCAGGCTGCTGTGCCTCCTTGGTTCTGAGGCTGCCACCTCAGCAGCCTTCCCAACGCACTGGGCCCACCTGCGATGGTCAAGAGCTCTGTGACCTGTCTTCTGGTCAGTGCAGGCACATGCGCCTCCGCCAGCCCCTTCCTGTGCAGTGTCACTGGCCAAGGCAGCTTCCTGTTCTCCCCAGGGACCCCCCCAGCTCCTGGGAGCCCTTGCGTTGCCCCTGTCATGCCCAGGGCCGCCCTCGTGCTGGCAGGAGTGCGCGAGCTGGTGCAGCGCCCGCTGGCCCCTCTGGAGCTCATCTCTCCACATGAGAGTGGGGACAGTGTGGTGGGCATGCTCGCTGCATGGCATGGTGCTCACATAGGAGCCACCAGGGACCGAGGATCCCTTGACAACTCCTGGGATGGGCATTCAGTGTCACTGCTGAGCTTGGAACTGGGCTTGCTTCTGTTTGCAGGTGAGCATGGCTGCGAAGGGGCCCCCAGCCTATCCAGGGCCCCTATTCCTGGGAGGCCCCATATCGCACCCCGTGGACTATGGGCCTCTGCTGCCACAAAGGCTATGTGGGCCCTTCAGGCCTCAGCCGATTCCTCCATCGGGACCGCTGACATTCGGTACGGTAGGACACTTGGGCTGGCACCACCGCCTGCCCTGTCCTCTCCTCTCCTGTCCTGATCGGCAGCTGCAGCTCTGCAGACTCTCAGCATGAGGTCCAGCACTCTGAACCCCGTGCAGCCTCCGGACAGCTGCTCAGACCAGAAGGGTCCTTCCCACAGAGCCAAAGTGCCAGTCCCACCGGGGTGGTCACCGGGCCACCACGGGCGTGTGGCAGTGGGAGAAGGGAGGGTCAGACTGTAGGTGAGTCGTACTGATCCTCAGTTTCCCTTATCTGTGAAGTCTGATGCATCACTCGGCTTCCTGGCTCAGGGGGAGGGAAACCATTTGATCAGACTTGGACTGCTCCTCAGGATGTGTCTGCGTGTCCCTCTTGCTTTCCAGTCCCACGCATGGGCCCACCACTTGGCTTAAGAGAATACACGCTCGGCATCCTGCCCAGACGCTGCGACTTGCCGGTGCACCCCCACGAGTTCTTGCCAGGACCTGTGCTATTCAGGCCTCCAGGCCCGCTTGGCCCCCAAGAGTACTTCATTCCTGCTCCTAGAATGCCACCACCACCTGCCTGGCCCCATAACTACCCACCACCGCATGCCACAAGGGAGTCCCTGGTCTCGGAGCCCAAAGAAGCCCCAGCCTCACTGCAAAGCAGCCGGGAACCTGCCCACGCTCTGAGGCAGAGCACATAATACCCCACTAATCAGAGGGCCAAGGTTTTTATTGGTTTTGGAGGTCCAGTTCATTTTAAAAGGTTTTTATTACTAAACTGCCTTGAGTGGTGTACATTTTTCAGCCAAACAATACAGAAGTCTCATCTTCCTCTCTAAAATTGCCTCTTAAGCTAGAGTGACATTCCAACTTTGAAACGTGCAATAATGATCCCTGTGTTTTACTTAATATAGCATAGGTATGTGTAAAATGATTCAGAACATTGTAAAAATAAATATTTCCTCCGGAAATAGTTTAAGAACACATATTTCTGACTCAGCCCACAGATCAATCTGGATCCGGGTGAAGGAACAGGGATTGACAGATGCAGGGTAGGAGACAGAGAGACGGAGACAAGTCGAAGTTCGATCAAGCCTCATTTATTGATAAAGTGGTTACTGCTTTTATAGGGCAGGGGCGGGTCAGTGGGACAGGGAGAGGCTATGGGGTGATCTCTGATGGCTCATCGTCTCATCCGTGTAGTGATGTAAGTAGGAGAGGATTATGATTAATATAGGTGCATTATGTGCCCATATGAGGGATGGCAGGGAGACAGCAGCGGGGCGGTCGCACCGCTCCCTACATCTCCTCCCTTTCTATTTTTCAATCAGGAGTATGGCAGGCCCTGTGAGGACAGCGCCTGTCTTAGGTCAAGGACCTCTTTACATGAACCCAACTGGGCCTTACCCATCATGGGCTTGCAGGACAGCAGTTGGCCCTGTGCCCATCTTAGGTGACCGGTGGTGTGGCGTGTATGTCCTAGTTGCCCATCTCTGGCTGTCTGTCCATTGTCTTAGGGCGGTTAAGCGACATCGTCATATGGGCCACTTGTGGGAATTCTTTCCTGGTAGGTTTGTTGATCTGCCATCTCCAGCTGGTGATCGTGTGCCTGAATGGGCTTCGCCATAAATGCGTCTATTCAGTTATTAAAGAGCACCACAATCCTCTGAAAAATACAAGGACCCACAGAGAGGAGAAGCAACAAGGCAGCTAGGGGCCCAGGAAGGGCGCTAGGTAGGGAAAGAGCCCTCTCCAGAGTGTGGAGTAGGGGTTAGAGCCCATTTGTTTTTGTTTTTTTTAATTAAGGAGAAAAACAAAAAAAAGCAGAAAAAGGGTACAAGTTATACAGAATTTCAGAAAAAAAATATACAGTAGGAAACCACTAGTTAATGGATTACATATTGTCATCTTAGAAATATTTGTTCAAGTTACAAAATTAAAGCTTATATAGTGGACACTCAAACAGTGAGACCAAACAGTTCTGGTCAATGATCCAACAAAACTCAGTAATATCATTGTCTATCTTATACACTTAAATATACATGCAGTTATATCATTTAGAGCAGTTTCTTTTCCTCTCTTTTGTACAATGACTATTACACATTTTGGGTTTTATTGCTCCCACAGTTCTTATTACTTTTTTTGGAAGAGAGTAAAACCAAATGTCCTATGTTCCATCCCTAGTACCACAAAACAAGATGAAACAAAACCAACAGAAGCTTACCTATTCTTTACATTAGCTGTCTTTGTTCATTCCTTCAAAATTTGCTGAGGGAAATTGCAGGAAGAGACAGAATGTTGCTTCCTCTCAGCCAGAGGGTCCCTTCCAGCCCCAAAAGCTCACCTGAGGGCTGGCAAACACTCCACTGTCCCTGTCTCTGCCCCGGCCTCCAGACCGCCTCCAGGGGTCCCAGCTGGTCCACAGACACCACAGGGAATTGGTGCACTCTGTGTGGCCTCTCCAGCACCTGACTGGGTCAGTGTCATGGGATGCACTGGGAGCCCTGCACAGGCTGATATCTGTGTGTGTGAGAGCCTGACAGGGGCCTGTCCACCCACTGACATCCCCAGGGAAGCTGACCTCTCTTGTTGTGGGCATCTGCCTAGTGTGAGTCATGGCAGAGCAAGTGTTGTGTGCATGTGTCCCAAGTACTGTGCGGGGTCCTGTGAGAACAGAGGGAGACTGCAGGGCCCCATCCTCAAATCTGCCACCATGCGACTGCTCCAGGCCTGCTGCTGGGGTTGCATTCCATTTGCCCACCTTCACGTTCCTGTACGGATTACCTGTCTCTGGTTAGACGCAGCATCTCATGCGTCTCACAGGGCACCTCTCGGGCGAGCTGAGGGAGCAGTGGTTGTTGACAGGGACAGGGGTCCTGAGAAGCATTTCTTCATCTACAGCCACTTAGGCCCATTGGGTCCTCATGGGGAGGGGACAGGCACACCCCAGGGGCAGGGGCCCTGGCGTCACAACAGCCCTGTGCCTTGAAGGGCCAGCCGGCATCACTCAGCACTAGGATGCCCTCCACTGTTCCCAAAGGCCAAGCACTTGTTCCAGGGCCCCTCGGAAGTGGACTGGGCATCACCTGTGTGGTTACCCACTGGACCTTCTGGGGTGAAGCTGCCCGTCAGGCTGGGAGACTCAACCTGGCTCACCTGGACTCTACACAGCATGGCTCCGCACTCAGGGTCACGTTTCCGTGGCCAGGCTTCTTCGGGAATCAGGAACAGGATTTCTCAGTTGCCTGGGTGGCAGCCACTCATGTGCAAGCAAATTCATGGCGTTTTCCTTTCAGCATATCAGGGTAATTTAAAAGGTGTTAGTTAAATATTACTTTATTTCACTGAAATCCAAATTTGCTCTTTCTAACAAATCAGTCTGAGTGCCCACCTACCTCTTTTTGTCTTCCAGTGTCACTGTACCAAGCATGAAATACACATCAAACCACATGAAAATACACATCAAACCACAAAGCCTTTCCTTTTTCTCTCCCAGCTGGGGTATGGCATTGATTTCTTCAGGATTCTGTGCAAGGCAGAAGGTGCTGTGCTTGTAGATTTCACACAGGCGTTGCTCAAACACCTGCTCTGGAGGGCCTCGCCTGATGCCGGGCACTCTGGGGCCGAGGCTCTTGTTCCCCACTCCGAGTTCTTGCAGAGCCCTGAAACAGAAACCAGGATTCCTCTGGATGCTACGTACTCTCCCCTTACAACCTGTGATGGTTTCATTTGTGAGTGGCCACACTGCACTGAGGGTGAGATCAAATGGACATCAGCCTCTTTAGCTGCCACATCAGCCAGATTGTTTCCCCTGGCAATGGGATCATTCCCTTTTTTGGTGGGCCTTGCAATGTATTATGGCCACTTTCTCAGGTAGCCAAATTGCTGCCAGCAGGTCTAGTATTTGGGGGGCATTTTTTATTTTATCTCCTGCTGAGGTCAATAGTCCTCTTTCCTGACAAACTGCCCCATGTACGTGAAGGGTTGCAAAAGCATATCTGCTATCGGTAGAGATGTTAATCTGCTTAACTTCAGCCAGCTTTAGGGCTTCTGTCAAGGCGCTGAGTTCAGCTCACTGAGCAGAAGTGCCAGAGTCCAGCCCCTTTGCCCACAAAATCTGGGTCTTGGAGGTCACTTCTGCCCCTGCAACTCATTTACCTTGGTGCATGTAGCTGCTTCCGTCCGAGAAGAGTGATGATACACCCTCTAAAGGTTGGTCAGTCAGGTTGGGTCTGAGGCTTTGGTAGCTTTCGATCAAGGTGGCGCATTCTTGATACGGGGCTGAAGGATCCTCATCAGGCAACAGTGTGGCTGGATTCAGGGCTGCCAAGGACTTGAGGGCAATAGAGTCAGGATCTAAAAGTAATGCTTGGCAGTGCATTTGACAGCCATGGGTCAGAGGGTCAGATAAGAGTCTCAAGTGAGTGAGAGGTTACCACAGTGACCTTCTGGCCAAAGGTAAGCTTCTTAGCTTCCTTTATCAGCATAGCCATGGCAGCGATGATCCTCAAGCATGGTGGCCAACTGGCAGCCACTGCATCCAACCTTTTGGAGAAATAAGCTCTTGGTCTCTGCCAGGGCTCCAGTTCCTGAGTTATTACTCCTTTTGCAATTCCTCTCAGTTCATCCACACACAGGAAAAATAGCTTATACATGTTAGGGAGTCCCAGTGTGTGGGCATCTGTTAACGCCTGCCTCAATTGTTGGAAGGCTATCTCTTGTATTTCTGTCCATTCTAGTGGGCCTTCTGTTTGCCCCTTTAAAGAGTCATATAGCAGCTGGGCTATCTCAGCAAAGTTTAATATCCAGAGCCTACAATATCACACTGCACCACGAAACTCCTGGATTTGCTTCTACGTCTTTGTTACTGGTGTTTGTAGGGTAGCTCGAACCCTTTTATTGAAAGGGTCCTCTTTCCACCTTGCAATTGACAGCCCAGGTAGGTCACTGTCTGCTGGCATATTTGGGCCTTTTTTGATGATACCTTATATCCCAAATCATGTAAAGTCACTAACAGGGCCCTGGTGGCTTCTTTGCAATCCTCAAAGTTTTGGTGGCCACTAACAGGCCATCAACATATTGCAAAAGTATGACCTCTGGATGATCTTCTCTATACCCCATCAGGTCCCTAGCTAAGGCCTCATCAAATAAAGTGCGAACATTTTTAAAACTTTGTGGTAAACGAGTCCAAGTCAATTGTTCAGTTATTCCTGTCCCTGGATGAGTCCATTAACAAAAAATGGGTTGACTTCCAGGGCCACCGGGAGGGTGAAGAAAGCATCTTTCAAGTTCAGGACAGAATACAAGATGTGATCTGGGCTCAGAAGACTCAGCAAAGTGTAGGGGTGAAGGACAGTAGGATGCAGGGTGACCACTCACCTGTTGACTTCCTGGAGATCTTGCACTGGCCGGTAATCTTGGGTCCAACAACTTACGGACTGGGAGCAATGGTGTATTCCAGGGAGAGATGCAAGGTACAAGAATCTTATTATCCGTTAAACTAGCAATATGTTTTGCAATTCCTTGGCGGGCCTGTAAACTTATTGGATATTGTCTACGGCAGATGGCAGACACCTGGGTAACAACTCTATTACCAGAGGAACTTGGTTTACCGCCAGACCGGGAGACTTATTTTCAGCCCAGACTCCTGGTATTTGCCTTTGCCACCCCTGTAGGACATTTCTGTCAGTCTCTGGAGTGGGATCATCTCCCAGTGGGAGATGATTTTCCCCTTCAGGAAGGAAGGCAAGTACCTTCATTTGTTCCCCAGGTGTTGTTCCCAGAGTCAGTTGTGGTGTCTCCGCCTGAAAACTCAATTGGACCTTTACCTTATGAAGGAGGTCTCTTCCTAGCAGTGGATCAAGGCATTCCGGAACCCATAGAAATTCATGCATAGTGGTCTTTTGCCCAGGGCGAGTTAACTGGACCACCACCTTCGGGTATGATTTTCACCCTCTGGTGGCGCCAACCATGTTTACTTTGTTAT